AATTACAAATGAGCTGATAATTCCTGGCCTCCCTGGTTCACTCCCTCACACAGTTTTCTGCAATCCTCCTCCAGCACCTCTGCCAAGACGCTGCGGTGTGGAATTTGAAAATGTCGACAACCTCAACCCTCCCACTCACCGCTCTGCCTCCGCTGCTCATCCTCTGATTTTTTCTACAGCAGGGTCACAGAGACACCCATCTCCCAAGCCTAGTTAATTAAGAGGATTTCATTTTAAAGAGTTTGGCTGCCTTTCAATGGATCTTCAATTGGAATTACCGCTCATTCTCTACGTCGGCTGAGCTGGAATGGGTTTGACCTGCATCCCCCTAAATTCCATCTGGGGTTTGTCAGGAAAACGCAGATAGGAAAATGCAGATTTGGCAGAAGGTATCTTGACTAATGGTGTGGAAATGTGTGTGTGACTGGAAAAAAAAACAAAAAACAAAAAAAATCCCACTGTATACAAGATAAGCTCCTGGCATGCAACTTCAGCAAACGCTACAGTCTTAAAAGTCTCCATTATGTAGAAGCATGTGGGTGGGCAGGGTACATTATGGAACGGTATCTTGCGTCGAACCTTAATCGGTGCGTGTGCACATGCACGCAGATTTGATGTAGATAGGAGTTAAACCCAACACCTGCGCCAAGAATATCATCGACCCCAGCACAGTTGTGTTTTTAGAAACCCCTTAGCTGCACCATGCATATTAATAACGTTTGGCATTCCTTCCAAAAGAAGGATTTCTGCTCATTTTCCTTTGGATCAGATGGGACTGACTTCAGCCGTCTGGCAACTCTCAGAGCCAAACACAAACATGCCGGCTGGGGGCTCCCAGTGTGACCTCCATCCACCCAGCATGTACAAGTCAACGGAAGAGAGCAGGGAGGGACTTCAGACGCAGAGCTGCTGGCTTTGGCTCTCTTGTCACAGGAAACCCACTATCATTATTACAAGTTGCAGGATAAGCCTCGTTTAAGGCAGTCAATTAAATGAGCATGGAGTTGGGGAAAAAAAGGAACTCCTCACATCTGATGTCTGTAGAAGATAACAGGGTTGCTGATGAGGATAACACTTGCCTTCCTGAAACAAACAGTAATACACACATGCAGTGTCATTCTGTGATGTGTCGCCTCCGCCCTATTATTGGAATGTCATCTGACTTACAGTGCAGCCTCAGGTTACATCGCCCATGCATCACCAGCTAAATGTGCACACGTATCTGTGCCTGCCTCTGTGGTATACTATGTGGCCTAAAACACAACAAGATGCAGCGGCTGGCGCACATCGACCCCCTCTGCTCCGCTCCATCCATCCAGTCTAATAATATTTGCCAAGTCAACAATAAACTTGATGGATCTTTTGTGTCTGTGGTCACTGGTAATGAAAACTCTATGGAGCAAAGTAATCTCACTAAAACCTGATTTATCAAAATAGCTGTATACCTAAAATCCGGTAAAATGTCAAGGATCAACAATTTAATCAATTTAGCTACCATATTGGTTTTAAAATGAAAAGTGCCTTGTGCTAAAATGTTTTCAATACGTCAGTTAAAAAGCTTCACATTTGTCACAATTTTATAGTGGGATAAGTGGTGCTTCATTTCTGAGCGACCATTAAATATTACCAAGTCCTGCACCTGGAAAAAAAATAACAAGTAGTATTAAAAAGCTGTCTAAATCATTAGGCTCATCTGGTGAAATGCCAAAGCTTCAATCATTTCACAATTTTGTTATTCGAAATTAATTGGGACACATTTGCCAAACACTGCCCACGTATAAAGGGAAATACAATGAATTGGCATCACTCTCATGTCTCCATTAAGCCATATATTCAAGAACACTTTTATGTCTGAATCAACAAACCTTTAATGGCGACCATAAGCGAGAGGAAGACGTTATTGATGTGTCATTTAAACAGGAACCCTCAGCGAGTATGTGTGTGCGTGCATGTGTGTGTGTTTTTACCAGCACATATCACAGTCGGGACGAGATTTTCTTTCACACGTACAGAAGCACACACCTGACCTTTTCAAAATCCTTCTGACATTTACGGTGCTGGTGCAAAAGGGTGAGGACAGCTCATTTACATAATGATAGGACCAAACCTCAACAGCCATTAACACAAAAAACTAAAGCCAGACTGAAAACTCCTCGCTCCACTGAGACTAATGAGATACTAAGGACTTACTTTTTTCTTCCCCTTTATTAGCATTGAAAAGAAAAGAAAAAAAAACCTCCTCTCATGATCCATCAATTACATTCCTCTTAATAGACAGAGTCTAGTGCTCTTCCTCTGTTGTGATGATGAATTGTTCCAGACTTGGCAGGAATACACTGTTTCACACCATGTGGAGGGGAACTGTTAGACCTAATAGTCTGAACTATTGCACACCGAGGACTGCCAAAAGAAAGATCAGTACATTCGAGTCAATCAGTATCCACGCTAAGTACATCTGTGTGTGTGTGTGTCTGTGTGTGACTGAACAGGGTGGGCAGTTAATGATTGTGAAAATGCTGTGGTTTTTTCAGTACTTTGATATTCTACTGCATAATCATATTAGCTGGTGTGATTGTAGCTGTAAAAAGAATACAGCTCTGAAATCCTACAGTCATGACAGGCTATGGTAAGGTCATGTGGTTTATTGTCCTGTCTGGCTGCATGTTGTTCCTGTCATAAACAGCACGGCCTTGAGTTCGAAGAGAGGCGGGGGGAGCGAGGGAGGCCATCTGAATAACCCAATCACTACCATCACCCACACAAAAGCTCTGGACAGGAAAGAATAAAAGACAGCAGAAAAAAAACAGACGGAGACAAGAACAAGGCCTCTGTATGTAGTGGACAGCAGCGGTGGGGGAGGGAGCGCATGCTTGGTGGGAGGGAGGGGGAGAGATTTCAAATGACGGTGGGAAAGAGGGTAGCCAGGGCGTCGCCTGTCTTAATCAGTTGCTGCCTGTTGCGTTTTCCAGCCAATCCAGAAACTCAGCCACATCAATCCAACGCACAAAAGCAGCGGGCCGCTGAAAAGCCACCTGTTTTTGCTTGAATCTGAGGAGAGTCGTCAAGAACGGCTTTGCATACTTTTCTGAATGCTTTCAGGTATACAAAAGATTAAAAAACACAACAACAATGGCTTATTTGTGAGCGGAGAAGGACAGAGTCTCTTCCCCCAGCCCTGACCCTGCATGCCCACCGGTTTCTCGGGCGCCCAGCCAGCCACCCCCTGCAAACACGCAGCTTACTCAGCCATAAAGACAATACTCCCACAGCCTCATACTCCCCCACTTTAAAAAAAACAAAACAAAAAAAAAACACTCCCCCTCACGTAAGCCCACCGTTCTTCCAATAAAAACATCTCCTTGGTAATGGGCCAAAGCCTTTCTGACCCACATCCATGGTTCGTGGTGATCTTGGGGGTCGGGGTTGGTATTATAGTTCAATTTCAGAGCTTAAACTGGCAGGCCACTTGTCTGCTGAACTCAGAAATATTACAGAAGCCAACATAATTAAAAACCTATCCAATTCAATATTGAATTGGATAGGTTTTTACATTAAAGCTGGGCCGTGTTAAATTGAAAACTTTGCAGAAAATTAATGAACTTCTTTCGCTCCCAGATTGAAGCTGGAGAAGTGGAGGTAAGTGGTTGCTGTCAAACCTCTAGAGGGAAAAGTGAAGGTAAAAAAAAATGCAAAAGGAGACCAGTAAAAAGTTTCAGTTCCCCATAGCATATTAACCAAAAGGAAGTCAGACAGAAGTCCCTTTTGAAAAAAGCGAAAAAAAAAATACTAAAAATGGAAAGAAAAAGCCACGTTGGTGCCTGCACAGGGAATGCCTTGCTTTTGTCCTCACTCATAAATATGTAAAGCCTTTTGTTTTGTTTTCTCCACTTTTCTCCCTCCACTAAGAGCACTTCATGTTCTGTAAAATGAAATCGGACAAAAAAGGTCCACTGCATGAATAACTCAAAAACTGCAATTAAAAAACACCACAACCCGCTAACTATTGAAAATGTATACTGTAGCTGTGCCAGGACTTTAGATCTAGTCCTACATTCCTGCCCCAATTACAGGAAAAAAGAACAACAAAATACCCGGTCTAGTGAGGAAAGGCAGCGAGAATGTTGAACTGGTTTCCTGCAACATATTCATATGCTAATAGGTTAAGTGCATACCAGGAATATTTTTGGGGAGCCCTACGGTCGCGGTACCTGTACGCTACCTGAGCTCAAGCAGACTGGAAAACAGCTGAATTATTAACGCGAGCAGGCGTGGCCAGTCACTTTGCTTAAAGTAATAGACGCCAGATTACATTTTTAAAAAATCCAAGCGGTACACTGAAAGAAAATCATGCGCAAGTTCCATCTAGATATTAGCCAGAGCGGGCCATCCAGTTCTTGCCCCCTCTGTCAGTTTCAGTGTACATTAAGAGCTGTTACCAGACCAGTTTTCGTCAATGCGTGGATACAGGAATGAAAAGGAACAGGGAGGGGGCTGTGGGGATGAAATGGGCTTTAAGGTGGGAAAAGGAGTACGAAGGATAGACTGAAACAGCGCCTGGGTTTAAAGAGGGGAAGTCACCAATGAAGCGCAGAAGGCACCTCGCCTCAACACCTTGCTCCACAGAGCCACACCTTAGGGAAACTAAACATGGCGTTGAGTCACCGACCGAAACTCGGGTCAAAGACCGATGGGCCTGGTTTACAATCAAAACCTCTGAGAGAAATAATTAAAATAAAGAGTTATCTCTCTGATCACCGCACTTGGCGTTAGTATAGTCAAAACTCAGAGAAAATCCGACGAGTTAAAGCGTCGCCTGTACAGAAAGCAAGGAAATCACCTGCTGGATTTTCTTCGCCCGTCACCGCCCTGACAGGTGGTAGTCAGGTTTAAATTGGTCTTCTCCTAAATTATTCAAGCTCGGAGAAGAAGAAGACGGAAAACAAGACGGTGTCGGCAATGAGCTGGACACCACTGACTTGTTATAAGTGATCTTTTCTTACCGTGCTGTAGAAGTATCGACGAAACCAAGCAGAGCAGTCCTATCATTTTTGTGCATTCAGGCCAGATTCGGGAGTCATGTCTCGCCATGGTTGATTACGGTCCGCTAAAACCCCAGGAACGAAGGATCGCCGAAATAAATAGGGCTTTGAGAAGAAAAAAAAACTTCAAATAAAGGTCAACTTCGGAGTAAAATCTCACTCAAAGAATAAGAACTTGTTTGGTTACAGGACAGGTCAAGAGTCCGACAGAGATTCTTGTTTGAAGTGTCCCTCGTTCGTCTTTAAAGCAAAATGGGCTAAAAATGAATGGAAATCCTTGTGAATTCGTCCTGGCAGCGCACAGGTGAATAGTTCCTCTCCGCCGGTGTTCAGGATGTGAAGAACTGCTGCTTTCTTTCTCTTTCTCTCTCTCTCTCTCTCTCTGCTCCAACAACTATTTCCTGCGTGTGAGCGCGCGGCTCTCGAACTGCGTGTGTGACTGAGGTGATGTCATCAGGCGTCACAGTCCTTATCCTTTCCACCCCCCTCCGAAAAAAACAATTAAGATTAGCAATGGCAGGCGGGGGGGCTCAGAGAACAACTTGTTGAAATTGCTGAAAGAATTTTTCCCTGGAATACAACCTGCACCTAGATACCATCCAAACTACGCAGCAGGTTTTAAGTCAAGGCGAATTTATTTGTACAGCCCAATATCACAGATTTGCCTCATGGAGCTTTCCAATCTGTTCACCACACAGCACCCGCTGTTCACAGACCCCCGATGATGAACTGTACCAAAGAAGAAAATGGGAGGAAAGACACCAGAGGAGTGATCTCTCTTCTTTGACGGGCAGATGCGCAGTGGAGCTGGTGCGTAAAGAACAGAGTCACAAAATTTATGTGCTTCACTTTGAGGGGGAGATTTATTCCTTCAAAAGCATCAGGATGATACGGTTTTCACGACCCACTTCCAATTTTAGGGCGCTGCCAAGTAAAATAATCTCACCAGCAATTTGTGTAGACTACTAATTGTTGCAACAGAAAAGTGACTTACAACCTAAAACTATATTTAAAAAAAAAACACGCCAGAAAACAAAACAACAACAACATAAAGTTAGCTTACACAATTCCTCCGAGTCATGATGAAATAAAGCAGATGATGCTTACGCCCTCTGCTGTCTGCTTCCGCGCACAGACGTGACATTAGCTCATATAAACCCCAGAACAGCAGATGCCAAAATCAATAAGCATTCATTAATGAACGACAAAATACGAAACCAGTGGCAGCCACAAAAATCAAATCACAAGGAAACAGCTTCTCATGTATCTATTTGCAGACTCCAGCACACTCATTGTTGATGAGATTTTTTTCTTCTACGGAATAACTTCCAATTCATTTTGCCCTATTTTCCTCTGAAGCAGGGTGCACACTAGCATAGCAATGGCATTATCTGGTTTAGGTCTAATCCCTATACCCAAGTGTTTTACAGCCAATGTAATTACATCTCCGTAAGTCCCACAGTTTAAACCATGTTGCCTTCTTCCTGCCGTTCTCTTCCTTTTCTCAGTTCCCCTCAAGCTTCTTATTTCCAGACTATTACTGAGATGCAAATTCTGAAGACGCTGATAGTGATCAGAGGTCAAGCAATGGTGTGCACACCTGAAAAAACAGCTGTAAAGTATATTTTTCTTTTAGACTTCTTTTCCTAAAAAGGAATTAATTCTGCCTCCTGGCTCTGTAGCACAGTGTTAGAAGACCAGCACAGTCATGGGAAGTGAGCGAAGACCACCCATACCTGCACTGCTGCTGCTAAATCTTATGCATTCATGGGAGAATAGGAGCTTTAAAGAAAGTCGCCACCAAATGGAGGGTTTCATTCCTTTTCCTTCCCACACTCATCCATTTTTCATACCCGTACCAAATCGACCTTCACACCTTCCACTTAACAGCCACTACCCACTTTCTTTACACAGTACCTCAACTCCTTTTTTCTCACCATCTCATACCCTTACACCTTCCCTTCATTTAAACTTCACTTTCCTCCCCTTCCTAATTTCTCCTTCCTTCCTTCCTTCCCTCCTTCCCTCCTTCCTTCCTTCCTTCCTTCCTTCCTTCCTTCCTTCCTTCCTTCCTTCCTTCCTTCCTTCCTTCCTTCCCTTCCTCTCTCCCTCTTCCCATGTAATTCAGTTTTCTTTGTCCACTCGTCCTTCACTCCTCTCTGCTATTCATCCCGTCCTCCATCCTCATGCTCTCCAGGGGTCTGTGGCAGTGATAATGAAGCCCATAGTTAACAGATATTAGCTCATTGGCAGTGGCTTCATTAGACAGAGCCAAGGCTTATGGTGATTATTTACCCATAGAGGAGGGGCCACAGGATCAGCACCACGTTCTTTGTCAGCAGCCACAGGCTTCTTTGAAGTCACACTGTCTCTGTTCCCCTGCAACACTCTCTCACACTTCTTCTCTCCCCGGGTTTTTTTATTCTGTCTGAGCACCTCTCCTTCCACATTTCTCCCCCTCGTGCTGCTCTTAATTTTTTTTCTCTCTTTCCCCGTCATTAGACACCCACAATACATATCTACTTTCTCTCCCTCTCTCTCTCTCTTTCACTATCTCTCTTCACCGCCCCCATTCACCCAATGGTAATTATGGAAAAATCTGTAATAGTGCTCAGAGGAGCTGATAATACCTTTAGCTTAATTAAAGACATTTATGGGATGTAAAGACATGTAGCCTAGGGGTTGCAGTGCACCCACACCAACCCAAGCTCTTTATTTCTCGCTTTTTCATCTCCCTCAATCCCTCACTTTCTGTTATTCTTATCGTTTTCTCAGTTTCACACACACATTGTGATACGCACATGAGTACATGCTCGTTCCTTTTGTCAAACTCGGCGTTGGGGTCAGAAGTTCTGTTACTAATTGCCCTGAAGTTCAGCTCGGAAGTGTTGTAAAACATCATACACCAACATTATGGTAATGCCCGTGTATGTATTTTATCAGCTCCATGCACACATACATGACTGGAATAATAACAGTCTTTTCCTGCTGATTATGTCCATTCTGGTTGCTCCATATCCTGTTCGGCTCAAAGATGTGCAGCAAAGTTGTTAAGATGCCACTCAGGCAAACCAATAATATTGGAGGATGCAGAAAAATACTTCTTGCTGTTCCGAAGAAGAGTAAGAAAGGTCACAGTGTCAAAGACAGAGACAACTGGTGCAGTGAGAGTGGTTTTTCTTTTCTTTAAATCTGTGATGGAGGCTGGTTTTCTCACCTTTATTCTTGCTTCCTTCTCTGTGGTATATTCTTGTCGCGTCGGCATCACAGGTACGAACCGATTTCTGTGATTTTTGGAAGCACATTTTTTAACTGTACTTGAAACTATTCATGCTGAAAACACTGCCTTCATTTCCCAGCAATTACAGCTTTTGTAGTGCAAACTTTAATGAATTCACAGCTCTGAATGTAAATTACGATGATGAGTCACACCTAGCGAGGCTTGTTTTGTTGTCCCAGAGGATCAATTTAAAAAAAAAAAAACTATACCTACTGTATCTTTTACCAAGTTAAGAAGAAGGAAAAAAGCTTTCTTCTCTTCTTTTGCTGTTTGCCGTTTTTGCCACCTGGTCCAGTTTACCTTTCTATTTAATCCTATGCAGCACTGATATGCCCACAGTTATCATAAGATGGAAAAATCCACAGTATTTGTTTTTCTGAAATGCATTTTAAATTCATTTGAAGCAAATGTGAAGCTTTAGTTGTCTGTTTTACATAAATCGAGTTGTTATCTCCCGTAGTCTTTTTAGTGCAAAGTTCTTTTTGTTACTATCCATCCACAGCAGCACTACAAGGAAATACTGTACCGTCTGGGGAAACAAAGAGAGGAATTCTGTGCTAAAAAGACTTTGAAAGATAACCATTATGTATGACGGACTCTAACAGCAGAAGCCTCATAATAGCCTCAGCTAAACTCATCTAAATCATTTTTACTCATAAATAGGGATGAGGATTAACTGTAATAGTTGCTTTTACTCTACATATGGCCATGTGTAGAGTCATTTCTTGAGTTGAAAAACATAATCCTGTCCTTTGCGCACAAGATTAAAAAAACTCGAGCAGTAAAGCAAGACTATATTTTCAATGCATTTCAGCTTCAGGAATTAATCTTTTATAATGGCAAACGTGTCTATTCTCCTTCAGATTGGAACAATGTTGTGGTGGTCAGAGAAGGAATGCTTACCACTTTGATCTGCAATGACACAAGTGTGAGAGGGCCTGTGACCATTAACTGGAAGGTGAAGCTATTTTGTACAAATGAGTGGAAACTGATCATGTTAGCCAGTACAAATGAAAGGATCTCTGGAAGTGCCTTGAAGCCATCCATGCAACTGACTGACTCTAACTTTAAAGACAGTGGGGTTTTCTCACTGTCTTTAAAGCCTGAAGCAGCAGACATTGGTTTCTACTCATGCTTGATACGACAACAAGAGAAGATACTTAAGGAGGAGATTATCCTTTTAGTCATCCTTACAGGTAGGAATAACAAGACGTTATTGTGCATTTGAAAGATACTCCTACTAACATGTCATCAAAGATTTTCAGATATATAAAGTATGCATATGTGTTTATACAGATCTATAAATGATTAAAGTTCCCCACCAGGTAATTTCTGAGATCTAAACACACTCATCATTAAATAATAATTTTTGTAATGCGGTTTTCAAGAATTCTCAGCATGGCTGCATGGCAGTGCAATGGTTAGCACAGCAAGAAAGCTGTAGGTTGAAACCTCCTGCTTGATTACATGAAGTTTGGATGGGGTTTTCTCAGGTACTCCATCTTCGTGGTGCTTCTAAATCAACTGTAGGTGTGGATGTGAGGGTTCTCCTTGTGTTTACCTTCCCCCCCTCCAAATTCAGTTCAGTTCTGTTTATATAGCACCATTTCTCCAAGTCACCACAAGGAAATTTACATTGTAGGTAAAGACCCTACAATAACACAATCAGATGACCCTCATGAGCAAACAGTTAGTGAGTGACAGTGGGAAGGAAAAATGTGGTCTGTCAGACCATGACGAGGGCTCGAGCCCACCACACCTAGCAGATAAGCAGTTAAGAAAACAGATAGATGAATTTCCAAATGTTACTACAGGACACAAGCTGCCACTGAAAAAGTCTGTTCTCAGTGTTTGTGAGTCCGGGCTTCAACAGTGTATTTTACCTATTGGACCACTGACTTTCAAAGTAGTTGTGATGTCTGTCCCAGATCAGTCTTCTGGGTACTCATCTTTAAGAATACATTTTAGGTACACTCAGAGAAACTTTCCACTTGAAGAGCTTTCATGTGTCTCTGAACATCCATCATTCTGTAGAGTCCCACATCCAGGAGAAGAAATACCAACTAAATCTTTTAGTGTAGGGAGACTTTAACTTAGTTGTTTTTGATTTTTCTGCATTTCGGCTCCTCCATGCTGTCCTTTCCTTTTCTTTTAAATCTCTCTATGTCTTTTTTATACACAGTTCTTCTTCACAATGCTGCATAACTAAAAGAATATTATTTGCTTGATTTATAAATGACAGCAAACAGTATATGTAGGAAATGATCTTTTCTGCAACCACACTTTTATTTCGTAACATCTGGCACATCTTCTTAAGTCAAGTAGTGCACCTATATTTGCAACTCGCTTTACACTGTTTTATTTGAACCTTTAATCCACTGCATTCCAGAGGGAAACACTGGACTTTAAAACCCACTAGATTTATGTTGATAGTTACACAGCAGATAAATAATTTACTTGCA